CAGGCTCGGCTAGCGGGGTGCTGGCAGCCTTGCACCTGGCCCGGGAACCGTAGCCAGCCCGTGCCCCTTTAAGGGGTCCAGGGCCGGGAGGGGGGCATACGAGTTTCCCTGGTGTTGGCCAGAGTGGCCACCAGGGAAATCTGGGGAGGGCTAGCCTCCCACTAGTTCAAATTAAGGGGCTACACACCCCTTAATTTGAACTAGGCTTAGTCCTCGTAGAATGAGGTTTACCTAGTTTGAACTAAGCGCTCCGCTAGTTCGAATTAAGTTCGAACTAGCGGAGCGCTTGTGTAGTACCTATCAAAGTTAATTCGAACTAACGTCCATTAGTTCGAATTAACTTTGTAGTGTAGACATAACCTGATGGAGCAAGAAACCATCAACAGGCCTCTGTGTTATAGATGGTCATTAAAGAACATCAGTGCCTTGTCCTGACAAAACAATGGGATGCAACTATCCACTCTATGAACAAGGAATTCAGGTCATATAAGCAGAATATAGGACTCTGTTTTGAAAGGACTCTGAAAAGGATTTTGGGGGTATGTAGGACAAACAACTGAATGTGAGCACCCAGTACTGGCAACAAGGATTAATGTGATCCTTTGATGTATAAGCAGGAGAACAGTGAATAAGAAGGCGATTTAGCTCTGTGTATGGCATTACTGACACTGTAACACTGCACAGAATTCTGCTGCCAATGTTTTTAAAAGGGTATTGAAAAATAGGAGACAGTATAGAAAAAAAAGCCACAAAAATAGTTCAAGGGCTGGAGAAAATGTCTTACAATGAGTGACATAAATAACCCAGTCTGTTTAGCTTATCAAAAAGAAGATTGAGAGATGACTTGATTATAGTGTGTAAGTCTATAGCATTTTCACTGGGAGAAAATACTGGGTACAAAAACATTCTATAAATGTAGTGAAGAAAGTCATAACAAGGGCTAGTGACTGGAAGATGAAGCCAGACAAATTCAAATTAGAAATGAGGCACAGGTTTTTTTTACAGTGAAAGTTAATAGCCATTGAAATAAACTAATAAGGGAAGTGGTAAATTCTCCCTCTTTTGATATCTTCATATCAAGACAGCATTAGGGATGTAATAATGTAGTCGATTGACTGATTAACCAATAAGCAAAAGCTTATAGATTAATGCTACATACTACACACATTATCCACACTCCCCTTTGCCAGTAAATTTTTTAGCAGTCTGGCCAGAAGCCTGACTCAGTCCTGGCTCCTGCCAGGTCTGGGACCTATCCCTGCTGCGGCACTGCATTTAAAGTGAATTAGGAGCCAGGCGGGCAGGGAGCCTGACTCAGTTTCAGCTTGCACAGGTTCTTGGAGCTCAGCCCTATCCCTCCGCCTGGACAAGGGCTGCTGCCACCCCACGCTGTGCCGCTGTGCAGAGTGACAGGCAGCCAGTCCACAAGGACCAGCTCCCACCTGACACTCTATGCTACAGCCTCTGTATCAGAGACAGCAGTGCGGAGTGACAGAGGGCTCCTTGGAAGTGGGGATGAAGTGCACTGGCTGCCTGCCTCCTCCCCCCTAACCTCATGAATGTTTATTGGTTAATCGACTATTCTATTAACCGATATTTAACATCCCTAGACAGCGTGCCTTTCTGGAAGATATGCTTTAGCTAACCACAAGTTATTAGGCTCAATACAGGCATGACTGTGAAAAATAAAGACCCATAATGTACAGATCAGACTACATGACATAATAGTCCTTCTGACCTTAATCAAACCACTACCGCACCTCCATTTGTACAGACAGACTGCTGCCACCAGACTTCATGCAGCTAGAGAGAGGATATGCTTCAGATGGAACCTATCTGGTGCACACAGGGATGGAGACAATACTGGAAACAAGCCACTTTTTATGCAGCCAGGGAGAGAAGGGACCCCCAACCACCACTGCTCCTCAATACGATTGAGCAGTCCCTGGCTTACTCCCACCTTGGTTTTGGTTCACCCAGAAAATAGCAGCAACTCCTGGTATTTGTACGGAGAAGCGGTTGGGGAGGGATTCAGCATGACCATGGCTCATCAGACAGACTGAGAACGGGTGATGCCTTTTTCCTCCCCAGCTCATAACTGCAGCAGTCAGGCAGCTAGTTAAGGACCGGAGCTCCTGGCCACCTCTGTGTCCATCACAACTCTGCCTTGGGTATCAAGAGCAGGTGTGCCCCAGCCCATGGCAGCTGCAATGCCCAGTCCTTTGGTGAGCCAAGGATGCATATTGCTGCCGCTATTCACATGGGCCAGCGGGGAGAGGAACCTCTGGCCCGCACCTAGCATTCTTCAACCCAACGCAAAAGTACATGGTCCTCAGCACTCTATCCTGTACTAAGCATTGGGTCTTTGTAAGATCTTAGGCCTATTTCCATGCAACCCCAAGCACTGGGCCCAGTAAGGCACATTGGCTCCACGCTCATCCTTATTCCTCTGTAGCCAAAGCCTCTGTGGACTGGCTAGCTCTTACCCATCTCCTCCAGAATCACTGTTGCCTCCCCATCAGGGCATTTTCTGCAGACATGAACATGTTCAGCAACCCAGCAGAAGGCTCTTCATGTAAGTAAAGGGGGCCCTGCCTCCTCACCAAATAGTCTTGTATGCATGCTCTCCACAACCATCGTCATAAGCAGAAAGCGGGGCTGCAATAGAGGTTTTGCATGGGGGAGCAGGGGCTGGGATGGGTTGAATTCCCCATGACACCTCAGCAGAAGGCTCTGTATCTGGGGTAGGGACTTGCCATGACAACAAAAGGCTCTTTGAGATGTCACCTCTGCTACTCTGGTGAGGCCAGGGACACAGAAGTTATAGGTGAGACTGTGCTTAGGGCCCTAGATTGCCACAGTCAAGTCCTGAACGTGACATGTCGGAGGAACATGCAAGCAGGTCATCAATAACAATAGAAAAGATGAAGGGTGGGTCTACTATACCACCTACGTTGCTCACAGCTGTGACTATTCCACCCCTGAGCGACAAAGTACATCAACATAAGTGGCAGTGTGCACAGTGCTATGTTG